AAACCGAATTTCACTTTCATAAGGCTTTCAATATTAGGTGGTCACAGTTATGAAATGAAAATTAGTTGAAGGTCTTTAATGTCGTGTCATACTTGTAAAAACTTTGATGGTACCTTTGAAATCGTGGTTTTTCGATCTTTTTTAAAAGAAAATCTTTGGTATTTGGTGTCACTTGGATAAGTGAGAGGGTGACAGGATTTGAGCCAATAAAATGTTGATTTTCTGTTAAATCTATTAAGAATCTTACTTCCACAACGATTGAAAAGTGAAATCATAATTTTGATCTGTTATTTTTAAGGCTTATGATGTAACTAAAGGAGATTAAATGTGTTAAATTTTTGAAGCCGCTTTTTTGTTGCTTAATCTAAGTCCTATTTTCTTCTCTTCTTGTTTCTCGTCACAAATTCCAAGTGCGTTCAAGGTGGGACATTTATTTGGCCTTTTTGAATGCCACCAATCGCTTCCATGTTTTTTATGGGATGGGTGGGACCGAACCAATAAGTTTAGGTCACAAGTGGAGTGTTTAATTTTATTTCTATTCTAGAAGGCGAAAAATAGGAGGGTAACTTACGGCTGTTTAAGTATGAACCGATTAAGGGAAATGTTATCCTACTGGTACTAGACTTTTGCAAATCTAGAATCTTAACGCTGGAAACATCGGCTGCATTTACTTCAGTGGAGAATGGACCTGATGGCTTTTTACAAGCCAATTACCATTAGTAAATTTCACCTGAAAACGAACTTCGAAGTTGCTGGCCTGCTAGTGTGTTTGAACTCTGTTTATCAATAGGCGCTGTGCCAAATTTTAATCGAAATCCATAATTTAATATTTGTTTACAGTCTCAAAATGTTACAGTTCTCCGAAATCTTTCTGATGGCTAGAGGCATCACAACATTGAGTTAGAGTCCACTTACTTATTATAAATAGGTTTGAGGGATATATTGGCACGACTCCTGGACTGCAAGAATAACAACCACAAGTTTGCTCCCATCTCAAGAGCTACTAAACCGCAGTACCAGAGGTCCCACCTGGGTCTTATCCTGCTAGTTGAGAGCCAAAGGGGATACCATAGGTAATGATTTTCTCCGAGGGAACCATAGTTACAACTAGTGTCACCCAAGTTGTTGATAAGGTCCCTACAAAACTCAGAACTGTAGTAGTCGCTAGAAGTAGGTGTCTCGCTTGCATCTCTTGTCACACTAATATTGGTGATTCAGTGGTCGCAAGTGAAGTGGCTGTTGATTGGAATCGGGATTGTTTTCTACCATCAGTCCAGCACTTCATTTCTTTCTTGAAGCCAAAAGAAAGTGGGATAAACGATCACAAAATGTATTTCCAGCTTACAAATAGGCTTGAGCACTTTTGACTTTATTTAGAGCCCATACTTGTGGGATGTGGGAAGGGAGAAAGAGGAGGGGCAAAGGCAAACATCCCTTTCTTTTCTAAAGTAGATCTTAGTAGTACAAAGCCTATCTAGTTACTTATTGAGCAAATTTAACTCTGTAGTCAGTGGAACCTCAGCTTCATGTTGGAGTATTTATATACTCGGGAAATTATGTTTACATTGAGCTACAGAGTAGATAATTTACTCTTCAAAAAAGGCGAATTAGCCCTGCTAAAGATGAGTTCTTTTGGATCCGCAAGTTTCGATAAATTATGTAAAATGTTGACGTTTTAAGGCATGCGTGCATTTAATTTCTCAATAGAACAATCCTAGTTTGGAGCTTAGGCCCTAAATATAGGTACCCTTCAATGGGCAAGAACATGAATACACTGAAAATCTACACAATTGTTGCTTACTATTTAACAAGATGAGCATTACGACAGTCGCAACGAGCGAATTAACTACCACAGTAAATGGCTAATCATGCTGATGCGGTACTAATCGACTTGGGTACTTTGGTTCAATCAACTTGCTTTACATGAACTATAAAACTAGTATCCTTTATGAAATACCATTTGGCATTAGCGGCACGATTTGTTGTCACGAGCTATTGTTCAGATGATACGGTATCCATGTCATCTGTGTGTGATGCTTGTGAGAGATGTAGCGTTGAGTCCAATCGGGAAGTTTTATTTTTTTTCTGTTACAACAGTTATACGGTCTTGAAGTACATGATCTTCTGAAGATTTCAAAAGGGATTAGACTAGACGATGGCTGATCCCCAGAACCTAGAGTAGATGTACTACTTTTCGCAACTTAGATTCTGCGTGTTCCACATTCCTTGTGGTGTTATTTTTGCCTTAAGAATTTCGTTTACACCGTTTATACAAGCTTTCCTTTGGTCTTGCAATGATTCATAGGAACATTTTGCTAAAGTATAAGCCCAACGTTACTTTCATTATTTTTCTCACTGCACATTGGAAGGCAACACGACAGTGACTTCTCAGCTACTGTAGTATTAACAACGATTGTGATTTGCTAATCCGTCATTGTTTTCTCTTTTAGCCTACATGGATTGAACAGAAAATTACCCAACTTAACTGTGCCAAATACGTCCCCTCCATCAAATCTCCCGATCGGTAGGTTCTCCTTGTGATTTTTAACCACGCCATTAAGAAATGGTGATGGCGATGACATCTGTCCTATCTGACTTAGAGAAGGTAGATCTGCTGAAAGGTTGTGCTACACCATTCTGAGACCTCTCCAAAGATGGGAGCAGGTATAATATTTGGTTCTGATGCTTGTAAATATTGCTGATGTACAGAAAGACTTGGAGATTGAAAATGTGCTCCAAGGTAAGACTGACCATCGGAGATACAGCAGTGAACATCCATGTAGATCGTCGTCAAAATCCAAATAGTTAGGCACATGCGTAGCTCCTTTCCTATTTTGCGCGACGATCTCGAAACGCCTCTTATTCAGCCACCCGTGTTGCCCATAATAACTTATTCGAATATGTAGGACTAAACACTCACGAATCAACTGCGGTATAGAATTTTACATGCAGCTGACCTAATATCTACTTGAAAATGCATTGATTCCTCTTGACAATAGACCTAGGTATGGTGTTTGGTTTTATTTGAGACTGATGAGAATGGTAAAAACAAGGGCTTAAAATCATTCTCATGACGAAGGACGGGGTCTAAAATACTTATACAGGAATATGATTTTGCGTTTTTATTTCCTTTTATCGCTTTGTCCTAATTTAAGTGCTGCTCACCTCTAGGCATCCATTTGGATCCTATTTAGGCGGTAGAAGATTAGAGGGGATGCTCTGTTCTCTTCACTAACGTCATCATACGAGTGCTCCAGACAGCAATGTAATGATCATTACCAGGTGCTTCATTTGTTAAGGCGAGTTTGGACGGCATCGCAAATTTTCCAATTAGGCATTGCCGCAAGTCCTTTCTTTCGCAGCTTATGCATTTCCTCTACACTACTATGGCTAATCGTTCAGCAGTAGGAATCAGGATAATGGTAATTTGAAATTGGGACTGTTCCAGGCAGCCTTGAACAAAGGAGGAAGTATAATGCGTAGAGATGCTCTGCGGAGGTGTGATGAGGAAGCTCTAACAGGCTTGCTACCAAAATCGGAGCGTGGTAGGCAATCAGAGTGCTACATTTGATTGACTCAACATTAGGAAAAGTAGAGCTGAAATCAAGTGGCATCTGCATTTTTTCTTTATGGTACTTAAAGGCTTGAGGTCGGAAAATTCAAGTGGTTGCACCGCTATGGTTATTTATTAGCCCATTCTGTCATGGAACTAAGGTGTACGTATCGTAGACATCAAAGAACTAAGAATTCCACAAGTTATTAGAGGGACCAAAGCTCGTTGACTTTTAAGCGAGTTCAATTTTCTGATTTCAAGCTATCATCATCCCATAACAATAGGTATTATATATGCGCAATGTGCTCTTTGTCGTTCAATGGTGGATGGGTGCAATAAGCTGTTGTGACAAATTGGGTGGGTTTGAAATGACATAGTGGATGAAGGGTACCCATTGTCTGGCGTTGGGTACATTTTTCTGGTTTGTAAGCAAAAGGCGCTTTTGAGGATTCTGCTGGTCACTGTTTTTGGCTCCATTGGAGGCAGAATGTTTAAACTGGTTGGATTAGACACCAATGTGCCTTGAAGAAAACTAAATTACCTTTTTATGTGGTATGATATGATTATTAATCCACAGCTATTCTCGCGCTACTTCTCTCGCTTTGGTATAGTTGCAAGAGAGTAGCTGCGGAATAGGTAAACTGCATTGTGCAACTCATGAAAATCACTTCAATATGTTTTCTCAAATTTGTTTGGAACGGAGAAAGATTTGAAATACTAGACCATTAGGCTACAAAGTCGGTAGACTGATTGAACTGAGGGCATGTTAAACCGTGTGAGGCTTTTTGCTCGAGAAAGCACACACCTTTAAGCTCCACCCGTTGCGGGCCCCATAACATGTGTTCGTGATACCGACTGAGATGCTTTTTTGAGTTGCGTCAACACTTCACTTGTGTCATACTGAAGCACGTAAAGGTTGTGCCAGATCACGCAATTCTAGGGGAAAGGAGAGTGATCTTTCTTTTGCACATCTCTGGTAATTAAGCTTACATTCATTCATTTCTGCATTCTTAATAATCGTTAATGCTAAAAGTTTTGATAGAGTCATGTACATTGGGAGTACTGCCTGAAGGCAGCATAGAAGGCTCTTTTTTCGGAACTGGATTTGGTTGTCAACATACGAGATGGCTAGCAGAGTGGCGACATATGCGGTATGTGCATGACTAGGAAACTTCACCCAGTTTAAAAAATGCAGGAAACGGATATTGTTGTTCTTCTGACAAAAGGTACAAGTACTAAATAAGTGTTACAGACATGTGGACCTCGATGTTGACCAATATATTGTAAAGTCAGTTCACTGATTGATTCAAGTTCTCTGGCTTTTAATCCCCCATCAATTGGTTTTAATTGACCCTTTCGATGGTCTTTGGAATTCACCTCGTCTTGTAGGTGTGGTTGCGGCCGATTCCTGGAGGATCATGATCCTTACGTGATAGAGGATGCGCATATGAACGCTCTGACATCCCATCTTGAGCCAGAATTAGTAAGATGGCAGGTTAAAAGCCACACTCGTGAGGTTCCCACAACAGCCTTTGGCACCGTCGAATTCCAGGGTGGACCGCATCCCACTAAAGCTAGAGTAAGTTTGTGTTTACATTTTTTGTTAAACCATAAATCTGACCTTGTTTGCTCAATACAGTTGCCGACTAAGTTGGTGCATTCCTTTTTTGGGCCATTTATTTATTTGACATGTATTGCTTGCTTTTACCAACCTCAATTTTTACTTGATGACCACATCAGCGACATTGCGATGGGCCTGTTGTGTGCCTGTGAAAATTATGCAGTTTTAATTATGATTTGCTACACTGACTTATTAATGGTGTGGTATTTTTAATAAATTATGAGTGGGGATGCTCTTTGTGCTGTCCCCGACCCATCTTTCATCCCATGACATCGAATGATGGTTGAGTCTAGTGGTTAGTTAAATTCATTGAAGATGAAATAGCAGAACCTGGTGCCAGTTAGTAATTGTGGGAAGAAGGAAATCGGTGACTAGGACCAGGCTGTTTTATCGTCTTCTAAGGGACATTTGTTTGTAGGAGTTTAATCTGCAGTAAGCTTTTACCTCCTTTGATGAGGACGACAGATTGTTACGAACTGTACTAATCCATCATTTACTTTTCCAATTTCCCCCAACTCTATAAAAGATGAATGTCTAATTGGATCTACTTTTTTACAGTACTAGCTAGTTTGATGTTTGAGCGTGATTAAAACTGCAGCTCCAATTTCCTCCTGTCGTAAAATTAAACGGCAGTTTAATTGAACTTCAACTTTTATCGCTAATTTGGGAAATTTCAGGCTATCCTAAGAGATCGTAGTTCAAGTGAGTCTTAATTAGCTAAAATATTAACGCTTAATAGTGATTAGAAAGTTTTAAACAAATTTTATGCTTTTCTCAAAACCAATGAAGGACGAATTTATGCCCGAGTCTATTAGGCACGCAACTCTGTTCTGGCGATTCATTTTTCTCCAGTTTGCTGTGCTGAGTTGCAACTCCTTATGATGAAGATAGTTGCGAAACTTAGGCATGCCGTACAATGCAAAACAGTGGCTTTTTGCTCATCTCTCTTGAGCGAGTGAACCTGGGGCATAATCTCATCGTTTATAATCTCTCTGTGAGCCAATTAAAAGCTTGTAAATGGTCCCATTCAAACCATTGCTTACAGCACCCTGAATGCTCAGCTATAGCTGCGTGATTGAGGAAGCTAAGTGGGAATTTTTAGCCCGACTTATTTACCCACTAATGTTGATGGAGTTGATTAATAGCAGTCAAATCATAAGTGACAGGGACTGGAGGTCAAATTATGGAATAGAACAGGGAATGTGTTCTAACATCTTCGAGTGTTGTAGGCCAAGTTCATTTAGTTTACTTGCTAGACTAAGCGATTGCTGTTTTGCTAAAACTTGAACGCATCGTGAATGCTCCTTTCCAATTTTACGTCAGCATTCACTACAGAGAAGTAATTGCATCTTGATTGTAGATGTTTGGAATGGCAGCTAATGATAGGAGAAATATGCTAGCTATCAAAACGGTTTCGCTTTAACGGTCAAGCCGTTTCCATAGAGTGAGAATGCCTACTCCCGGTAGCTGAAAATGCATATCCATTACACTACGTAATGCAGGTGTTGTTGTTGCGTTGTCTACGTGTTACCATTTTTTTGCTACTGTAGTACGTGAGGATAAGCTACGAAACGCCACCGGAGACTGTGGTGCAGCTGCTGCTGCGGGAGTGGCGTCTGCGTGTGCCCAGCTTGGTCATCTCGGTGCTGGGAGGTCTGGCCAATGCCCCGCTTCAAGCCAAGTTGGGCTCCGTGGTGAAGCGGGGTCTCTTGAGAGCAGCCAAAACTACCGGTGCGTGGGTCATCACCAATGGTCTGGATACTGGTACGTAAATAGTTGTGTGCCTCTCCACTCACAGACCATCTTATTAATCGGTGGTGTCTACTTCATTTCTTTTGGTCTGTCCATTAGTTTAGCAACTCTCCTTTCAGTCTTACGGTTTGGAGCATCGCTATGAATCATTTGATGCTATTAACTATCCAGTTCCATGAGAGAGCAGTCTGATTAAACGTTAATGCAGTTGATAGGCTTTTGAGAAGGTTTTCAAAGTAGAGTGCACATTTACGATTTGCAAAGCGAAAGGGGTTTTGTTTGAATCGGTCTACGTGCATACATTCGCAATGGGCATCAGGACAAACAGGGAGTCTTTAAAAGCTCACACTAATTTGCATAACATCGGTTTACTTGATCGACCGAACGGGGCAGGGAGGGTGTGTTGGTAGGCAAATTTTTTAAAAATCCATTGAATTGCTAATTGTGAGACTGTGATAAGTGGTTACATTGCGACCAAATTATGTTAAAGTGAAATAAAATCATCACCTCGGCTACACAATCCTTTGTTTTGATGCAACGAAGGGCATTTGAAGGGTTTGGAGCACGAGCAGAGCCAAGAATATGATTGAGGTACTCATTATGAAGGCATGTCTGTTCTTTTTCTTAATGTCTACTGTTTTTTCTGTCTTTTGGAGTGTGGAAGAGTAGGCAAGGGAAAATATTGTCTGATGTTAGCAGTGTTGAGTGCTACTAACTTTGCATCCCATTCACCTCCAAAAGGGTCATAAAGGGTTATGCTTCTACAAAATGACTTATCTACGATTCTGCAGCACTGTAAATCTCAGAGCAGGAACAGCAGTATCAACACAAAGACTGGCCCATGGGGCATTTGCAAAGTCGGCGCAGCAAGGTAGTTACTTAAACATTACTGGTTCAACATTTGTACAATCCTTGCCACAGTCCTCCAAATGTGTGTATTTCAAATCATAAATCCCTTGCACTCATTTCAGGTGCTTAAAATCAGATCATCGGACAGGACCATGGATTAGTGGTGTTAGTCATGGTGATAAATTGATAAGACTTGTGGCTCCAGGTTCTTCTGTTGTGACTCAGTTGAGTCCCTTAGATCGCAAAAAATAGGCATGGTGGGGGTTTAGGAACTGGCGAATATTTTCAGTTATTAGACACTACTTCTAAGTTTTTGAGTATTTCTACTTAGTTCCCTGTCAAAGGGTCTTCAATTTGCATTAGAATGAATCCAAAATATGCGTAGAATAGGCCTTTCCAGATCATCGCGTTGAATGAGCCTGTTGATTGCTAAATGACTGACTGAAATAGCTTATTTCGATACTGTGTGGGTGGTCTTTCCTACTCGTTTCTACGTCTCTGCGTATTTTTGTTTAAACACAAGTGACACTTTGTTTAACAAACCTCGTATAAACAGTGTTGGTGATTGTGATAACAACTGATTCACGGAGTCGAGCATTAGCTTAGAACAACTTATTAAAGTTTGAGGGAATTAATCAAATTAATGGAAGGTAATTGAAACGTGTATTAGTGTAGCGTTCCAATACTTCCCTGACGATGAAAGGAGAATTGGTACTGAGACATGGTATATGTTATGAGTACGGAGAAGGTCTAGGTACCACTGACATGGTCAGGGTGCCATTTCGTCCAGCCGATTTACAAGACTAGAGCCCTCAACTCCTGCTGAAACGAAATGGAGGGTTAAGCGAACAATTGGTTCTGCATGGTCATTCTCTTCTGTTGGATGTAAATTTCGGGGCTCTCTCATCAGCATTGGAACTGTAAGAAAACTACCCGCAAACCAGTCAAAGCTGCCACTGAATTCGTACTCAACTCAGGAAATAGCTGTCGGAACAACATTAATCCATCTTGACAACTTCATCCTATCTGCTGTTTCATACTGATGAAGAGTCACATTGGCCAAGAAGGTATGTGGTAGTCACCTCCTATGTCCACCGTCAGTCATGATTTTACCGCTGGTCCAAAAGCAGGCAATTAATGGAAGGCGGGGCTCAAGCTGGTTTCGTAGAGGTATTGCGGGTTCACCCAATTGATATCTTCACGCAGATGCTTCGGATGGCCATGATTACTGGTGGTGTTACCGTAGCTGTTAGTTGCTTTCCTACAGACTACGGAATAGTTGTTGGAGATAGGCATCCATATAATAGACATTTTCATCAATGTAGTGAATTGAAATTTATTTTGAGATAGGAGTTCAATAATTGGACAGACTATTTATTGTCTCGGCACCGTAGAGCTTGGAGCTACTGGTATATCCTCGAGGCCACGTTACTCAAAGGAAGGGCGATGATAAAACACCTTAATGGCCCTTTTACCAACATCAAGAGTTAACCATTTGAACAGAGCATGATTCAACATAATTCCTTTATTACAATGGTGTCGGGAAGCAAGACATACAGATACATAGCAAAAAGTAATTAATTTGGTCAATGCTGTTTACCACCTAGATTGAAATTTTTCAGACAACATTTACTAACACACTTTTCATCGAGTCGGTAGAAATGCGCATTCTGCATTGTAGAATTTCCTTTCACCGCCGTTGATAAAATTGAGTTGCTTTGATTGCTAACATATTTTTAAAGAAATCCAGGAGCACACTAACTCAAAAGTCGCTAGGCCTAACAATGTCTTAAGTGTTTTAAAAATCAATCAGTGTGATTCTAGTACCACCTTTTCATTTTTTGCAATATTAACTCTTTACCCTTACTTTATCTACGTTTTTTTCCTCATTCTTCCTTATCACTCCAAAGGAGTGACTCGGCATGTGGGTGAGGCACTGGGCGAGGAGGTACATGTTCGTGGTTCCAAAATTGTCGCTCTTGGTATCGCGCCTTGGGGTGTGGTGCAGCAGCGCAGCATGCTCATTGGTATTGATGTGAGTCTTTTTCTCCTTAATCTATGCTTTCCCTTTTCAATATTAAATGATTTTCAGCTGAATTTATGCAAACGCCTCTCCTTCATTGTTGTTTCGACATTGGAAGATGATATTTGCTACTCCTGTATCGATTAACGTCAATTGGAAATACTGCAAAATTGTTCATAGGAGGAAATAAGCTAGGCGACAAATGGCATGACCTAAGGTCGGTAAATTCCACCCCCTCAAAACACTCTACAATAGTCATTTAATTGCAAAATTGATTGGTCTTGAAACACACTCTCACTTGATATGGAAATGTTTAGACTTGGTTTTTGTTCGCCTTGACCGCAGCACACTTGTCAGTATCACGCTCAGGGCACGTTAGCGGGCAGACAAGAGACAGCCCTGAATCCGCATCACAACTACTTCTTGTTGGCTGACAATGGAACATCGGGCAAGTTTTCTACTGCCGAAATCTGTCTCAGACGTCGTCTTGAACAGTACCTCGCTCAGCAGCCTATTGGTCTGCGCAGATTAGGTGGGTTACCTTGCCTTTCGTACCCACAAAGTGGAGAGTGGATTTGGCACTACCTGTATCAGTAGTATGCGTCAAATCCCTGTATTCTTAACTCATTTTGGCTTAACGCTAGCTTTTTTTGATAAATTGTGACTACTTACTGCACACCGTTGTCTTAAACAACTCGAGTTTAGAACAATGGAGTGGGCGCACACGGCTTTGTAAACGTGTGGTAAGATTTCGCACAACACCTCATCCTCTACCTCTGTTTCCTTGATGATGCTACCCCACAAAAAGATTGCTCCCTCTTCCTTGAGTGCCAATTTTCCTCTCGATAGTGAATGTGGGTTGAAATTGGGGATAACTGCGGGTGTTTTTTTTCACAAGCATTTATGTCGATGCAAAGACTTCAGCATTGTGTTTGTAGTATTCTGAATCAGTGAATTTGTTAAGCAGATTTGTGAATTGATGTGTCAAGGCTGTTGGGCTGTCTTCATGGATTTGGCAATCTTTTCGCTATCATTGTAAAACAAGCATAAGATAACCTGCGCATTTTTGCCGACTTCTTGTTGGAGACATTTAAAAGGAAACTCACGTTGAAATGGTCTCCTGAAAATGGAAATGTAGTAACGTGTCTACTGAATGTCAATCGGGTTATTAAAACTTTCGCTTAGCTTTGAATTTTTTTTGGGTGAAAGTAGCATTCGATAATTCACTAAGCCATTGGAGCGTTTTTTGGTGAACATCCGATGTCATATTCGGTGAATTTCGGAAAGGAAGTGATACTAAGACGGTGGATAGCCTCTTGATGCGCTGAAACTCATAAAACGCCGAAGATGGTGGCAAAGGCAACATTTAATAGCTAGATAAATCATCGAATTTTTGCGTGCTATGAATTTTCAGGAGGAGGGCTCGTGCTACACTTTTAGGACAATAATTTTATGCCTTTCAGAATCGCTATTGTTAACTCATCCGATGTTTTCTCAGTGTCTTCGATAGTGCCGTCGACCACCAAACTACTGTTCCAACAGCACTTCTAAAGTTCAGACGATTTTTTCCTTGAACTTTCAAATACAAGTGTGTCATAGGTCACCTTTGCAATTTCCATGCATGAAAAGTGATTTTGACGATGGGCTGCATTTCATGTTTGTAGAAGCGATTTGGCTGGCATCATAAGGTAAAATTCCCTCAAAATTAGGAGGATTGGAATGTCTTCACAGATCGTACAATTTGTATTGGTGAAGTCAATCACGAACGCCCCCCAGTGGTGTGGATTTTAGTCTTACAGTGATAGTGGTTCGCCTAATTGCTTTGGGCGTTTGGGAGTATTCGCCTTGTGTGTGTGTGTGCCTGGGCGTTTGCGTAATGTATCTTTCATGAACGGTCCAATTTTTTTCCGCAAAATTGCTTTTTTAATCGGACTATTTTTTCTTTCGCATTTTCTATAGTGCTTGCTAATGGAGGACAGTATCTCTAATTTCTTCCTAAGACAAAAAGCTTCATTCGTACCCAAAATTTCGGGAACATTGGAAGGATTTCCGGCAATTAAAGTGATTGATGTTTAATAGTTTCACAGGGGGGTCGAATGATGTGATTTCTTTTATCACTCATCACTTCGTTTCTGATCTATGATAGATTCTTGCTCTCATCTTTATTCGCTACATTTTTTCCATGTATTTTTAAATTCGAGCTACTCCTCTAGTAATTGGACGTAGAGACAATCAAAGGTTCCTTGAGGTTTTATCTTCGGTTCTCCCAGTTGCGTCGTCACGACCACTTTGACAGATTATAAATCCGACTCTTTTGAAAACACATGTGAAGTATAACTCATTCGTGCCTTTATTATTTTTTTTTAAACTAGCTTTGTACGAGTTTTCACGAAACATCTGCTTTGCTTTCCCCTAATCGAATGAAAGACACTCTTCTTTTGGTGTTCTTATGGACATGCTTGGTTTGTGATGCTACCCGCTGTTCAGTTTGGTTAGAAAGAATAATTCGTTTTGAGGAAAGAATTTCTAAAACTTTTTTAACAGTTAAGAGTTCTGTTTGATTGCTTTCAAGGTCACTCGAAGAGTACAATTACAAGGCACTTTTTGTTTTTATTTCCTTTCGATTAATGACTGTTGCTACGAATAGGCCTGAATTTGTAGGCAAACCTTCCACGCAAATATGTGAAGTGCTATTACTGCTAGATTTGCATCAAATTATGTGGATGATAGTGTCCCATATACTTCGCCCTATGGAATATTTGGCCACAGTTGTACTGCAGTCGTTTGGGTGTCAAATTTCTATGCGGTGAAAAATTAGTTGCGTTCTTAAATTAACCCTCTCGTTCGCCTTTACTCCATCTGCCTTTTTGAGGAATCAAAATGTTTGTTTTAGCCTTCAGGCTTCCCTGATCACAAGGCTGATGAAGGGAAAAGTTGAAGGCTTGAAGAAACAACGAACATATTAACTTCGTACTTATCAAATCAAACTCATAAATCTGAGTATCGTTAACGGCTCCCATGTCTTGATCTATTCCATCAAAACATACTAGAAATGGGTAGATTAAGGTATTTCCAAGTTACTAAATGCCATCACATTTGACTTTGTTTCGTCAACAATCATCAGTGAATCGCATAACATTGAAATTGGATAAACAAGCGTTTATGTGCAAACAACTTTCTCCTGTTCACAAATAATATTTTTCGTTCACTTGTACAAACGTGGTTTTGTGGGCAAAGGTGGTAGGAAATTGCACTATAAAGATGGAGGGAAAGTGCGATTAGCTCGAATTTCGCTTTTGAATTAGTTGTCCAAACAAAAGTGATACTCGGGTAAAATGTATATGCATTCGATAAACGGTAAAACTTCAGGCTATCGGAATGATCTAGAGACCAGTGTATCCTGACAACGGTAAAGTAGTGAAGTACCTGGGTCGTTCCTTTATCGGAACCAAGAGTTAGACGAATAATCATCCTTATTAAATAGTTCTTCTTATTTCGGCAAACTTTTCTCACCTAAACATAAGAAAATCACTTACGACTCATACAATCTGGTCACCCCAATTTCACTGAACTCTCTTGATTGTAGGAACACAGGTCTAACAATGAATGGATTTGTGCATTATTTTGTGGATTTTGGGTTTTACTTCTAGTCCTCTTTGGGGATCTGTCTGAACTTCGGTTCTACTCATTCATCCATATTTTCATTTTATCCAACTAGTGGGGAAATAGTGGAGGTATTTTGCGTTGTATTCATTGACATTTTCATGCGGTTATCATAGGCGGCCTTATAACCAATTGTCTTAAATGTTACAGCTAGTGTCGCTTCATGATTTAACACCTTTCCTGTTGGACGAGGAGCTGGTGCAATTATCAAAGGCAGACACTATCTTCAAACCATTCCGAATGAGTTTTCACAGAGTCTCCCATTCACAGCAAATCCCACCCGTAAACATCAGGGAAGGTGGCCTTTTAGTTCAGCTCTGCTTTCCGCTACCATCGATGTGGCACATCAACACTGCACCGAACGCAATAAAGCAGATAGTGCTTTTATCTGGCATGGCTTAAGGCCATCCTATGCGGCGGAGCGTCTAAGTTACCCCTTTGCCGAAACCGAGGATGGAACCAGCAAACAGACCACCAAGGTATTGCCCTAAAGCGGGTAAAATAAATGCTTTGTGAGCTGCCCCAACGACGAAGTTACGTGACATTCCTTGGCCTTTTGGGTGCGCATATTGTGGCACATAAGTTGCAGTTTTAGGCCGCCTTTACTACAACCTCAGTCTTTATCCCAAAGGACTTTTCTTACGTGACCTGAGTGCAAACCAAACATTATTCGATACTTATTTTTTATTCTGAAAATCACATTGACTGGTCATTTGGTCACACTTGCGTTTAATTTAGTAGAAGTTCTTGCTGTATCATTATGAAGCTATTTTGTACTTTGGAACCTGCAGGTCACATTACTGCCTCACTTGTCTCAACCTGTCACTCGCACCCTTTTTAGTGTAACAGTTGTCAGCATGATGCTAAAGCAAAAAAAAAAAAAAAGACGTTGCACGGAATAAGGCCACTCTCCAATAACTTTTTTGTGGAGAGAAGGGACATTAAAAACATCAACATATCTCCTCCGTTTTTCAGAATTAGATTCCACCTAATGCACTTGGCTGTGCGTCAATCGAAAAGGGAGAGCGTAGGCATACTACTTTGGCAGAGGAATAGCAGATGGCTGGACTTTGGGGCAACTGAGGGCAAATTTTGCATCTGGCTATAGCTCGGTTTGCGCCAATATTATGTCGTTTTTGCTTTAATGGACAGGTTGAGAGAAAAACAGGGCATGCCGGTTTGGAATAAGTTAAACTATTTGCTTTTTTCCTGATCTCAAAGGCTTGTTTCCATGCATTCGTTGAATACCTGTTAACGCTACCGGGAAGACTTGGTTAACGATGGAGAAAGGGCCTTCCTCTTGATATAATGCCCTTAGGTTTTCCTGTCTCGTGACTTCCAGTCCAAAATAGTGTTGTTTTATACGCAATTTTGTGGCAAAGTTAACAAAATTACCCCAGGTTGTGCAATGAATGGTGTCTCAGCACAACTATTAGGAGTAATTGCTTGCAAAAGTCCTCTTACTACTTGTGTAACTGTCGCAAAGTTTTCGAATTTAAGCTGACATCACTTATGCCATGCACTTTATGTGTTCATAGTACTTTTGCTGGAGGTGGGATTGCTCTGATGTGGATACCAGGTCGTCTTATGTGAAAATAGAGCAAATAAACAATTATAAGCAATTGATAGGTGGAAAGTTTATGGTTAAAGTACCTTCCGAAAGCTGATAAGCAAATGTATGCAGGTATCGAACAGCAAGCGATGCAATTATCAAGCACATGTACTTAAAACATTGGTAAATTTCCAGGTAGTAACGAAGGATGGCAGTTCATCAAATCGAAGAAAGTCATTGGTCGTTGTTTGGAGATTTTAATCACATTTTACGCTCAAGACCGTATCCAACCTATGACACTTGTTGTGGTCGGTAGGTGTCACTGCTTCTAACAGGATCGTCATTCGGCTCCTTAATGTGGCTTTACTACTGTTAGTGTCAAAATCGACCAATAGGGTGGGCTTCTCAAACTCACTTTCTGCAATTATCCATTGCGAGTCTCCGTCGTTGCATTACTCGACGTTGCCCTGACACACTAAGTCGACCCTATTTCTACAACATGTCGCTCTCAAAAGCCTGTAGTTACTAGCCATGAGTGGAGTTTGAGTTGAACACCAAAGTAAGGCATCGAAGAAGATGTCTACTTTGGTACTTAGGGAACAGCGGAATCTAAAGAACGACGAAAGGAGGTTTTTATTCAATCTTGTAACATTTCCTGGAACATGGATCGGTCTGTCAGTCGTATTCACTAGAGCGGGCAAGTAAACTATTTGATGGAGAGATAAAGGGGCATGATTTTTGATAATCGATTGCTAAGTCACTTCTTTAGTCATTTTTTTCACCGATCATTTGTGGACTTTGACTTGATCAGGCTCAAACAGCACGCGTTTTTACATGTACTCTGTGGAGGATCCATTTGTATTATTTCTTTTCTTCGTGAACATTACCTACTAACTTTTTGCCCCTCAGATCACCTATTAGACACCTAAGGTCTATTTCACCTCGGAATGCTATTTTTCTGCATTACATAACGTGGTAGTGCAACTTTTTGCCGAAGTTAGCCACCAGGTACTTGGAGAGATGTTGGAGTGGCAAGTCTGGTGGCGGAGGCATTAAAGTATGCAGTTACCACAAACACTATTCAAATGCTGCTTACTTTTCTTTGGTTTTCTGCAGGCGGTCACAAGTCGAGAGTGCCAGTAGTGGGCGTGCTGATAGAAGGTGGGCACCAGACTTTTCGTACAGTCTTCGAACTCCTCACCGGTCGCAATCCCGTTCCCGTGGTTATATGTGATGGATCTGGACGTGCAGCGGACCTCCTTGCCTTCATGTATCATTATGCCGGACCTGATGGGTTGGTCATTTGATCTCTTTTATGTTCTCCACTCTTTCAAACGTCTGCACTCATTTAAGTACTTTCTCTTACTGAGTTGAAGTCTTGTTTTTTGATGCCCAAATTCTTGCCATCCTCATCGTCATTTGTCCCCTTTGGATTAGCTTCCTGCGCTCGTTTTTGTTATCTCAACGTTAAAGCAATTCGTTTCTGTCAACTTTTGTTCCCTTGTTAGTGTTTTGGGTTGTTATTTCTGATCACACACCTGCAATCATTAGTCCTCTGCCATTTTAGGTCTGTTTTCTCGATGCTTTATTTATCATGCCTGATGATTGCGGCAAGTCTGTATATGCACTTTCACATCTAAGGTCAATCAAGCCCCAGCAAGCTATTTCATGTTTTGATGCCTTAATTTCCACCCCCGTCACATCCCAAAATCTGTACAAAAGCATGGGTAAGGATGTGTTTATTTTAAGACTCCAGTCAGCTTAATTTCTGCACCGTGAGGTTACAAAGCTAAACTATGGAGTTTGATAATCTCTCCCTATTGCACTCTGCGTCAAAAACAAGTAATCTCATCTTGCTGGTATATCAGATAACTCAATTACTCTTTTAACCTGTAAACATTTCCAAGGCACTTGTTTGCATTGCAATTTTTCCTGAAACCATCTTTTTTCAACCCGACTGCCTGTGATTAAGGTCTACCCTTATTCGTTAGCGATGTTCGGGGGATAATTTTATTTAATAATTGTATTGTCGGTGAATTGATCCACTTATACACATTTAGCATATTTTGGAAGTTACTTTCTTTCCCGATATCTATTACAAATCTATTCCATTTGTAAGAAGGGTGTTCTATTGGTCGTGATGTCTTGGAGGCCAGCTCCATACCTCTATTTCCCATAGAAAAAAAATCATTGTCTCCTACAGCCCGTCGTCACTGGGCTACAATTTTTGCATAGTTCATCGTCTCCTCTACATTTCTATCGTACTTCACTCGATGTTAGTGATTCACTCAAATCGTTTCAAGCCACTTTTAATGGCAATTGGTTGGGTGCCACAGAAACGCCTCAAAAATCACCAGAACAATGCCTCTTGCTATTGCCTTATCTTATAAACTTAAGTGATTACTAATTATAGAGCAATAAAATTGTGTTTAAAAATAATATTCAGTTTTCTCCTTATTAGTGGAAGGTCATAAACTCTATCGTCTCACTACGCTAGACTGAACCGTATTTTGTTTGCCAAACAGCCCAATCTGCGTAATAATCGTTTGTTTTCATTTGTCTTCCAAATAGTTACACTCCCTTTCCTCACAGCTTGGTGGTTTGTAAAGTTGTTGGCTTTACCTGTACGGAAGACATTTCAAGCAGTTGGTTTATTGGGCCAGAAAAATGCATTTTTAAGTCGTTGGGTATGCTTTATAGATACATTCAAGCCTTCGGTTTAAGTTAAATCAAATCTGCTTAGCTTGAAACTCTTATTAGATGTTGCCTTGTCTGAAGGACCAGCATAAATTGAGAAAGGACATTAACAACCTGATTTTTCTTTGCTGCAGAGACTTGGTGCCGAATCTGCGGAGACAAGTGATTGCTAACATTGGGAGAACGTTCCAAATCAAGCAATCCGAGGCCGAGAGCCTCTACCTGGACATGAAGCTGTGCATGAAACGTCGTGATCTCGTAAGTTATTCCTCCTTATTTGTATCCAGACGAAAGTTAGGGATTTTTTAACTGGTGTTGGCGACGCTGAAGTCTTGAATAAATTTTGTAGTGAACTGTCACGCTTAGCCAAGTGCATCCTCGATTTTTTTATGTCTGACTGTACTCATTTAAGACGAGAAGTGTTATTTGAAGGATTATAACATCCATGTTAAAGTAGCTGATTTCCTTAATGCTGACAACACTGAAGACATGAGATTCTGATCATTCTACTACTGGTGTCGCTGTTATTAAAATTAACTGTGAGTGCATATGCATTAAATCGTAGTTTATGCCCTAGAATTGTCATTTTGAGACTCCTTTATATGATTAGAGGGAAAGGACTTAAGTGCACCCGCTAACTTGAGACAACCTTCAATTATTTCTATTTTCAAAGGACGAAACTTTTTGGAAAAGATAGCATTTTTGTTATAGGAGGATAAAAATAGCAAATAAGTTTGTTAACATCATGGATAGCAGGGTTAGGCCGCCTTTTCGCTGATAAAGGATTCTGGGGATAATGCGACTATTGTTGGGACAAAAATAAACGGGGAACTTGAATTATATTTATGACTGATGTTTTCGGGTAAGGGGTAAACCTGTCAAAATCAATCAGTGCTTGTGACTCGCCTATTTCAGGGGTGCAATGGGAACTGCACCTTGGCACCTTGTAGGGAAACCCAACTTCAGTTAGTAGAAAGGACAAATCTAATAACAAAAGGTCATTAGAGAAATTCTTGCTTTCCTCCGAGATCTTCGGAGAGGAGCTCCATGTTCTTAGCAATCCAATTTCCTAATTTTTTAGCAAACCTTGAATGTCCTTAACCTTAGATGCTTTTTCCATGTTTTAGCTGAGCGTCTTTCAAATGGGTGATGGGACCTCCGATGAAATTGACTTGACTATTCTAACTGCCCTACTTCAAGGTGAGTGAGTAAACTTCGGTCTTGGGTCCTTAGATGTTTTTTTTTTGTGATTTACAGAATCAGAGATCATAATATGGACATCTGAGCTCTACATTTTGAGACTCAAGAGCAATGTATTGTTATAGTTTACCCAAGATGTGAATCACAGTCCAGGTCCCTATTTGACAAAGCCTACTCTTGGGTTCACGACTAGAAATCAAAAATACTTTAATGTATTGTTGTAGTAAGCTGAAAGCTACATCTCCAGGTGCATGGCTCTACAGCCAAATGCATAGCTAAAGGCCACCACGCAGAAAGAAGCATGTGAAGGAACTCCAGGCGATGCCTTGAAGTGAGCATTGACAATAAGACTTGGACTAAACAAGGCATCTGTCTTTTTGAGGTCGTATTTGGCTAAAAGCAGCACACTGCCTTCTTAAAGACCTCATGGCTGGTAGACCATGAAGTTGAATTGAGTTGGGCAACAAAGCAGAAGTCCCCAAAAGTTATGTGGTCGGTGAATTTTGCTGAATGGTGAAATGACAAACCACACTGAAGTGTCTTCCCATTGCTCCCCTAACCTAGCTCCCGGACAGAATCTGACACCTGCGGATCAACTTTCACTTACCATGGCATGGCAACGTCCTGATATCGCGCGATCACGAATCCTCGTCAATGTCAACGACTGGTCGGTGAGTTTCAAGTCCTTGCGTCTATAGTGTACTGTGCGCTTGCATCGGTTGCATGGTGCACGAAATGAGGGGTCTTTCCAGCAAATGAAAACTCGATACTTGATTTAAACAAAGGTTCTTGCATCTGACGTTAGAATTGATGCGGTTTTTTTACTGAGGACTTGGAACCTTGGTATATTAATGCCTTGAGATAAATCCATGAAAGTTCTCACTGTGAAGAAGTTGTCATTATCGTGAAATTGTGTGAACCACTGAAGAATGCTTTAACTCAACTTTTTCTTTTCCGTAGATAATAATAAGCAATATTTTGGGAGGACTAGAGAGTAGGGTGCTTTAAGTTAAGCTCTTTAACCACATTGTCACTACTCTTGATGCTGAAAGTTCGCACTTAGCCCGTTTGGTGAATATTTCACTCCTTTATTGGCGCTCCGGGTTGTCGCGTAAATAACAACGAAATAAAGCGGTAAGGTTTGGACTCACTAATCCTTCAGCTGAAAACACTCCAGGCCATTCTAAACCCGAGGGATCTTCAAAGACTCACTGGTCTGGATAAACCTTTGTTACTCTTTATGCCGAGTCATTGAGAGGCTAAGTTGAGTCTGATTCGTAGTGCAATAAAACCTTCGATTTTTAGTTATAGCAGCTATCGTGGCTCTTCATTGACCCTCGTATAAAAGGCCTCTTTTCATGAGCTAAATGGGATTATAAAATTTGTCTCATGCCTAAATTACCCTCTAGCATTAAGTAGGCTGAACTGATACCCTGAAACGCCTCCTTATTTAGGATACGGCGCTTTCACCGCCTTGATACATATTCATAATTATGGAGCTAGGCTTTGTCCTTACAGAGTCAATAGTGGAGAGCGCCTCTGTTTACTCTCTAATCATGATAAGCGGTGATACACTTTTTCACAGACTTATTTTGATCTTTCTTCTTGCGAATAGAAGTAGAATATGCACAGTTTAGTGGTGTTGTTGAAAATCAAGAAGGGGGGGGGGTAATTTTGAAGGCTACCTACAAACGAATGTGTCTGTCGTCTTTCGATACCAATTATCCATTTCATATTCCCCTCATTTTAACCTATTTTTACTTTCTCTTCAAAAGGTAAGGTTTTGGATAACTGAGATAATGCATTTCTGGGCGTTAACTCGAGGAAAACGGCCATTGAAAATTGCCTCATTATAGGCACAATTACCTCTTGACAAAACTCTCATTTGTGCAGCCTCAAGACTCAGATCACCAATGATTTGTTAAAATTGTATAAGGTTAACATTTTTATTCACCTCTGAGCATGAAACAGTGAAATTCTTATTTCCATTGCCAATTGGCCGTCCACCTCTCTGCATTCCTTACACCTCAATCTAAAAACTTATCTTCGTAACCAAAGCAATGAAACTGGCTTCGAGTTAGTCTGTATTGTCTTTCTTCAAAATTACTGAGGTGGTGCAAGCTTTGCACTATCACATTTTTTATTTTGTCTTTCAACAAGAACCCCACCCTGGAGAATGCAATGACAGACGCTCTAATTAATGATCGCTTAGAATTCGTACAACTGCTACTAGAAAAGGGTTTGGATGTCTACAAATTCCTTACGGTTCGACGACTACAGGAACTCTATGCCGTTTCGTATGCTTGGAAGAATCATTTATTCAGTCGACTATTCAAGAAACTTCTCGGAGCCCGACCGGTAGGTTCAAAGAGACTGTTCTGCTTGTGATGCACTTTATGAGTTACTCTTGAATATGTACTAAAGTGCTAAATTTTGGAAGACATTTTTGTCACGAGCACACGGAGGAAATGGTCGACCTGGTAGAGCATGTAGTCTTGAAGTCTCTTTGAAACCTTATGCTAAGTGTCTTTTGTGGTCACGGTTCTTTACACTACTGCAATCTATGAAGGGAAAATTTTGTCTCATGCTTTCCCTTCAGTATGTCCAGTTCCCACTATTTTCTCTTGTTCCAGCTAAGATCTGCGACCGTATCGTGATAACTTGCAAGGCCTATTAGCTTACTAGTCTATCCTGGTCGCATTAATATTTTTGTCTCGGATAATCACCACTACTGCTGCACTTTTCCACTTTCCAACGCATAAGTACGAAGACTGCCATCCAGTATGCTGCTCCTGGGGCACGTGTACAGCCGCTATACCCGTTTTAATGGAATGAAAGTCAAATAAAACGAACGAAACGAAGCTACTTTCTCACTTAACTGATCAACCCTTAGTGGTGCGAAGCGCAGTGTATGACAATGGAAAGTTATTTCACTTTGGGGAAGGCGAAAGCATGAAATGGCGCATGGACCCAGCCACAGTTATGTTTAACTGAAGCTAATACCTTGCAGCAGGTGATATACGGTTGAATTATACAATAGAAAATGCGCAGCATTATTGTCGGGGTAAATTAATACATCTCGGTCAGAGTTATCGTTGGATGCATTATCTCGAATTTATTGTGCATGCCTTATGTAACGAGAATCTTTTGAAGCGGAAGAGAAGACAATAGCTAAGCTGAACATGCATGCTAGACATGATCTGTTAATAAAACTGAGGATTAGACAAGTTTAGCACTTTTCTCCCTGAAGCGTGATCTCTGATGTTCCTATAATCAAAGAACCAAGTAACCAACGGTGCCAATCATCTTCATAAAACTTTGTAATACCTCTTGCTGTTTATACCATATCTGGAGTTCCATCCAGAGTTGAGGAAATATGCTGGCCGTCAGGTGTACCTCTAACTGTTTCCAAAGAGAGTGATCTAAAATCGGGGAGAGAGTTGGATGAGGAAAGGGGTTTAAAATAGTTTCATGCAAGTAACGTTCTGCACCCATTCCTCCTTGTTGCACTTCCTTCACTTCAGGACAATCTATCTATGGCTATCTTTTTGGATTTAGTCCGAGTCATGAGGAAGTGGGGTCGTCTCAGGTTCGTCTGGCACTTAATAAAGCTTTGGCTGAGACAGCAACAGCAAATCTCACCGGGCCGTACTCCCACAATACATTTAGACAGTTTTGCCTCGTAAAAGGTTGCTTTCCGATTCATTTTATCCGAAAATCATTTTACAATGAAATCCTTAGCCTCTTTAGTTTTTATTTCCTCTATCGATGATATGCTGATATAGAGGACGCTATAACTATCAAATGTTGATGCAAGCTTGTTGAGCTATGAAAGTCCGTTCTGCATACTGCTCACTGCATACTAGTTGTTGTCTGACGAAGTTCTGCCTGACTTTTTTGTTTTATGCCTTCAAATGTTGCTGATTAAGTGGTTATAATTGAGATGAAGTCCTTTGGGTTGTAGACCATCTCGCTTCGGTTGATTGGACAAATGTTGGAACAAGTGATTGGAAATGGCTATCAACACCCCTATTGCTCAAAGCGTCTTGATCTTCATCTCCGAACTATCGTCGTGCCGGTGAAACAGGTTAGTCTAACTTTTAGTTGGCCCCTTTTGTAATGGCTGTTTGGAATCCTCTGTCCTTGTTTTGATTACGCCACAAGTTCTATTACATTGTACTCACGCATCGAAGACTCATTTATGTAAAGCAAGTATGAAGAGCCGTTGCTTTGGCACATTTTGCTCGATATTTTCCTTTCTGATTAGACATTTTCAGGCGACAAAAAAGTCTAGAATATCCTTTAATTGAAATAATCGACTGCCGGACCAATTGTAGTACATTCGCTCAGTGAATGAAAAGTGTATTAACCGAATGCTTCTCATCCTGTGAATTTATTTCTCCTTTTACAGCCAGGAAGAGCGCGAAATCGCTGGTCAACATATGGTGGGTCGAACGCAAGTTCGGGAGGGCGCCAGTGGAGTGAGGCGGGGTCCACTTCGGGATGGACAGCCTCTGCAACTTCAGAGTGGGTCGCTAGCGGAAACGCTTCGCACTACCCTGCTGTCGCACTCACCACCACTAGTACCGGTGACGGGACAACAGAGTATGACACTGGTGGTCCTGATGATGACATGATCTGCTTCCGATATCCCTACACCGAACTGCTGCAGTGGGCTCTCCTCACCTGTCACTTCTCTTTGGCTCGATTTATGGTGTTGTCGGGCGAAGAGGCTATCGCCAAGGCGAGTGCTCCTTAATTTTTGTTTGTTTGCTTATCTGATTATCGGCCTGTAAATACAAACTCCCTATCCATCAAGTTCTTTTAAAACTCATCATCGGCAATAATTTAAGATAGGTTTTCGTTACCTGTGTTTTTCGGACGTACATAAATCGCTTGTTGTTAGCGTAAAAATTTATTCCTTTTTCGTTCTAGGCTTTACTTTCTGTGCGAATTCTTCGTGGCATGCGCAAATTCATGGACGTGGAGTCGGAAACGGAGTTAATAAAGGTCATTCGCGCTCAGGAGGAGTGAGTATTCCATTTTTAGCATTTAATTTAAGATGATAGTGTAAAGAACCTCACCGCTACAAATGGCTATTGCTTTTATAACTCCAAATTTGGTATGCAATTACTGCTTTTGTTTGCTTTTGTTTGTTTAGTCCGTCATTTTAATACGGGACTTAAATAGTTTATAATTCACGAACTTTTACCTGAATTATATTGTTGGCAATTGTAAAAACTAAGAAGTGGGACTGAACATTGTTTTGTTGTGCAATGTATATATGCCTTGTCTTCCTCCTCCCCACTACGTCTCAAGAGCTTTCGAGAACCTGGCGGTAGAGTTGCAAGAACATTGCCATCGCCATGACTCTGCGCAAACACGTCGCTTGCTGACATACGAGCTGCGAAACTTCTCCTGCAATACCTGTCTCTCTCTAGCATATATGTGCGAGTCCAAGTCCTTCATTGCACACCCTTGTGCACAGGCTATCCTCTCCGACCTTTGGTACGGAGGACTGCGTGAGGGTCGCTTCGTTTCAGCCAAAATTACCCTTATTCTACTCGGTCTTTCCCTACCGCCGCTGTATCCTCTCATTGCACTCTGTTTTGCTTCGTTCTCGTCGAAGTTCTTGGAGTTTAAAACAAGAGAAGAGCTGTCAGCGCAGCCACAAACATGGGAGGAACATCTAGACGAGATGGACAACTCATCATCATCTTCATCTTCCTCGTCCTCCTCCTCCTCATCATCTTCATCTAGTCGCTCGTCTTCGCCAAGGTAAGCTTAATTTTGTGGTGGATCTGAGAAGTCACCTCTATGCAGATTAGCCTACCACTCAGCCTTAGTATTATCGGTTCGACTTGTAGCCTGTCTTCTCTGAAATACTCGTCTGTATTTCCTTGTTGTTAGTAGTGATCCTGTGCTGATGAAGCTTAAAAGAACTTTGACCATTTGTTTAATCTTTTTTTTGCGAATTTAGTCAAGGATCAGACACTCGTAAGAAGCAGCCTATGTAGACTCCATCTAGCTAGTTATAGGCGTATACAGTGCTTATCCATCGGCCTAAATCTAAGCACTTTTTGTTACTAGCCTTCCTATGGTCTCCGAATGTGTTCACATATTTTGTTTATCGTCATATCCAAACCAATATCCTGGTATGCTAATTAGCTATCACCGTAAATTCCCAAATATAGGTGCTTTTGCTGTCAAGAAGTCTGATTTACTGCCCCAATCTTTTTCACCTCATCTCATTGAACGTGCGGGAAGGGGTGTATAATTGATGGTGGAAAATGAAACCCATAGTTTAGTTGCTCACGTTTTGACAAGAGATTTAGGTAATGTAAAAACAATTCCATTAAAATGGTGCCTTAATGTCATATTGATCTGGACAACGATTTAAATTAACTGGAATCCTGTACAGAGCTGCCTTAAAAGTCTTTTTCATGGATGATACATTGTTTACCTTAGCATTATGATGATAGTAAAGAAAGTATGATTGTTAACCATGGCTACCCAGCCTACTTGCGTGGCTCCAACGGACTTCAGAATCAGTTGACATCATCTTCATCTAAAGTCAGCAGATTGTTAGATGAGGCCTATTGTTGGGGAAATGATAATATGACGCGATGCCAGCCTATTTGCTTTGAGACCAAAGACAGGTTTGCATTTTTGATAATAAGTTCACGCTTTACTCAAAACCCTTTACTGCTTCACGCCTCTTCAATTTTAGTCACAGCGGCACAGACGACGGGAAGACTAGAATTGTGGAACATTCTACCCTCATCGCTCCAGTATCCCCTCTGCGACCCGGCTCTGAACCATTACCAACAAATCGAATTGTCCAAGTGAGCGATTTAGGATTGTGCTTGATAACACTCAACTCGGAAATCATCCTATTTCTTTATGGACCATTATAGTTTGCCATTATAAACGAATGGCTGTCATAACATTACTCCCGCTTTTAGCTTTTTAGGTTAATGGTTTGACTTGGTTGTGCATTAAAGTCTAAATGGAAAAAATTCTACACTATCAACCTGAGTCATTAAGCACCGGTAAAGGAGAATGTTGCTCACTAAGCAGTGTTTTGATTATTGTTCTCTCTTGGGCAATAAAGTGAGGCTACGATTTAATTGTGTTGGGTAGCAGGTAGAAAAAAGTGGATCAAAAAGGACTGTTGAGGCTGATAAATGTTAAGTTATTTTCCATGCTTTCAAACAAGCGTATTTGTCGGCGTGGAGCCTTCTGATCTCGAATTTTATCAATTGTTTGTGCTGCTTTTGTGTTATTTAGAACGGCCTTGTCACTTATAGGCTGGTTGGGATCATGAAATACTTTTTGAGTGTTGCATACCAGTTGCTCGGTAAAATGGCAAATGTTACTTTTTGTTCGAAAGAGTTTGTGAATTCCGAGTTTTCACTAGCACTGTACAATGGTGGGGACTGAAACCAGATATCCACAGAGGATGCATAAGGTGGTAAATCATTGAATATTTGATGAAATAATTAAAAATTGCTTCAAAATACTCATCTGTTCCTTCGAAAGCACCTATTTTTTGTCGTTTGGAGGTCCGGCAATTTGTTGGACCATTTTGTGGCGTCTAAATTATCCCCTAAAGGGCTACAAAACATTCCATTTTGGGATAGCTTTCATTGCTCCTACATGGAAGTTACTTAATTGTGATCACTTTTATGCGATCACTGTCGCCTATATTTCATTAAGTTCTTACCATTACGAAAATGACTGTACGCAAGGCCCTTTCAGAATTGCGAGTTGTGTTTTCTGGATGTTTTCGCTTTGAATAGTTTGCTCTTTGTAGCCAAATTGATCTCGTGCAATAACGTGATCGGTCGTATCAAGGTGTGTTCTGCATTCACAGCGTTCCAAATTCTTGCTGTTTCACTGGTGCGGGACTGTTCAACAGTCTATTCTAACATGAACTGTTGAGTCTTTGGATGGAACTCACACTGACTCATTTTTTTCATACACCAGGCAGTTTTTTAAAGGGTTTTCAATGATGCTACTAGTATTGTAAGTCGACGTGCTCTGCTATCATCATCACAGACGCCTTTCTTCCGCAGATTCATCTGGCTTTCTTGGCAATGTGATCACAGGGTTAGCCTTGAGTAGGGAAGATGTTCATTGCACTAATCTTTGGCCTGAATTGCGGGGAAGTGAGTGGTCCATGCATTCGTGTGCATAACTTTAACAGTGTCATTTTCTCGAAGTAGCGCGCATCGCCAATTTAGGCTCGGTCTAGAACTCTAGCACTCAGTTGTCCTCAAACAAGAGCATTGGTTATCCTCTTTAGGGATTTGCAATGGAAGTACCAACGTACGATTGTGTTGCATTGGAAAATGGGATTGCCAGGGATGAATTTCGGCACTGCAACAACCATGCTACTCGACCTTCTCGAATCCGTGCTTTCTCCGACACCATCGTTAAGGCTAAGGTTGGATACTCTACTTCGTCAACTGCGAAACACCTAGCTCTGCCCGAAACGGCCACTACAACCACGGTCTCAATGGTGAATGAGTATAAAGACTCGAGCGATGTTTCGATGAGGGTGCGTAAAATGTGATTTTTCTTCCTACTTTTCCACCCATCTGATCACTCGACTGACTAATTATTTATAAACCGTTGAAATTAATTGAGGAAAAGTTAGTCATTGTCACTCATCTAGTCTTCACTTGAGAACTGGAGGCTTTTACTTTTTCTTTGAAGATACACATACGATCATCTCATCCGCTTCCAACTCAAATCCCATATTTTGTAATATAGAGTCGAATGTAACAAAGTTGCATTTCCGAAGCTTCGCAATTCTTTCACATCCTCTTTTGGTTATAATGCGTTGCTTCGAACTACGAAAGATTCGCTACCTACTCAGTTAATGTTTGATAGCTAATGCCACTCGATTGAGCTAGATTTTACAGAGGATAGCTTTTTATTATGCTCCACGGTCATGGCTATTAGCATAACTTTTATGTTTGATTTATTGGCGGATATTACCGGTTTTGAGTAGAAAGATGCATTTGAGTAAAACTAGTCTTTTTCCATTTTGTGAAAACATTGCGTATATTCGTGTAAACCTTGCTTCATGTTTATGTCCGCAAAGTGCTTTGAAACGAATCAGTTAATGGGGAAAAACGGGTAGGCTGTGTGTTGTTGAATAACAAGAACCTTCATGAAACCCACTCATCTCTTTCATCTGAAAAGCTTATAAATTGAGTCACCATTGTTTAAAACATGGTGCTCCGAGCTTCCGTTGGTAAAAAAAGGAGCGCATAATACTTGGATATGATGTGTAATTTTGATCGTCTAAAGGGGTCAGCGGTACTGAACATACTTGATCATATCTTGTGAACATCGTCCCTGGCGCTTGCTTTGGCTAACGTCCTGCGTTAGTCAGTGTTATAAAAAAACTCACAAACCGAGTATATTATATCTGAGACTTTGTCCTATGTGCGGTCTGGATTTGGGGATAAGCATAGTTTTCTTCCATCACCCGTGTCAACCACTAGGCAAAAGTGAATTGGTTCGTCCTGTGGCAAGAACCGATATGTGACATCGCTCTCTAAGGCTAATGCATCGAACCCCTTCTCCTCTGCCCCTGTTTTTGTTGCAGGACTGTTTGCTTATATCTATTTGAGCATCACCCAGCCAGTAGGAGATGGAAGGATATGTCACGACTACGATTAGTATTATTTTGACTTTTAATGTCTTTTCTGCGATCTACAGCGAAGTATTTTTTGGAGGTGAACGCTCTCATTGGTAGCATAAACTTTTTTTGTAATTTTGTGCATTATAATTCAGCTATCGAGTAAACAAAGGGTGCCATTGGATGTCGGACTCACCTCCTGCTGCCACCCTTTTACTGCTGGGGTGGCTATTGCCGTGACTCATAGGGAGCGTGCCTGATAAAGGTGATATGGTGGAGTCTCCAAGTAGATTCCTGCCAGAACTGAGTTAAGCAAACGATTAAGATCCCCATTTGTCATGAATTGTGCTCTTAGTTCGCAAGATCCTAAGTTACATGCTCGATTTTCTCGGATCCTCTCGAGACCAGCAACTAGGGAGGCAGTGTCTAGCGTTTTGATTATGCAAAGATGGTGCAGCTGGTGTGTACCTGTTTCAGAGCTAAAGAGAGCGACATAGTATGAGCTTAAGGTTCTCAGTCACTTATTAGCGTTGGACCTGGAGTACGATCACTTAGAGCATTTAGAGGTTTGCTATCAATTAATACTTCAGGAAGCTTGAACTGCAATCTGTTTCTAAGGTAGCAGCTATCAGCCTTCTAGTGGCTGCGATCAAATTGTTTTGTCGGCACCTATGTAAATGCCATTAAACAGGAAGATGACATTATCATACCTTACAATTTCCAGTTAGTTTAAAAATGGCAAATATGGTTACAGCAAAAGTGATATGCGAAGATGAACAACTTCATAGAAGGGTTATCCTCTGCGTCATTTCCTCCGGACATTATCTCAAAGTGACTGCCATTTCCAGCTCTATGATTATTTAAGTTTTAACACCGACAGTTGCGTACTGCTTTACCATGAGGAGGGTTGGTAGAAAAGAGTTTGCAATTTAAAGGTCATTATTTCTCTTCTTTATTGTAGAACGAAGATGTGGTTGATGAGGCCACGCCTCTGCCAACCATACAGGTGGAAGGGGTGCCTGTTCTGGGGAAGGAGCCCAACACGAAAGCATTAAGCTTGTCGGTAGATGAGAATAGAAGTAAGAAACCCTTGTTGAAAAATCATTCATGTCCACATCTTTAGCTGTAAAAAACATTATTAGCACTGAATTAAGGAACTGAAAATTATTAAATAGATTCAAGCAGCTTAACCTCCCATTTGTCCAGAGCAATGCTAAATGACTGAAAAGTTGAAATGATGTAGCACTTGACCATCGTGTGGTCTTATTGCCTTCTTAAGAGGGGCACAGTGTATCAGAACAGCCGATCGAAACCGCACTACAGAACGTACCAGGAGATGCAGAGAATATAGTGGTGACGATCAAACAACCGCATCAAAAGCGCACCTGTCGGCGTAACTCCAAATCGACAGGTGATCTCAGAACCATTACAATGGAGATCGGGGAACGAGGGATTCAAGTTCGGCATCGTAGACGACGCCAAGTTCTGCTAAACCCAACACAAATCGCTCAACCCACATGCCACTCTTGTCCTACTAATATTGAAGTTGAAGCACCATGCAGAGTCTCGAGTGTAGGTTCAGCAGACAGCGAACCCCCCTTGCCGCAGCGGAATCAGCTCTCTGCGACGCGATCACGATCCTCAGCGACGCCAGTAGTACTACAAAGGACACACGGTGTCTCGAATGTCTCTCGTCCTATATCCAACACCTATCGCTCTGCACCAAACGGAGTCGTGGGGACAGGCGCGCATTTCTCCTACTACCCCAATGGCGGTGGCGGTGGGGGCGGCGGTGGAGGTGGTGGTAACGGTGCTGTGGATACTGGCGTAGGTGACTCTCCGGACGAGACACAACAACATCAATTGTCGTGGCGCAAGAAGGTGTATGAGTTCTTCTCTGCACCTGTCACCCGATTCTACCTTCATGTGGTATGTTTTTGTCTTTACACGTAAAGCTTTCACTTTATGCATAAATCTGACTTTCATTTAGTTTTCTCATCCTCCGTTCATCAGGTTGTAATACTTTGCAGGAAATAGTGCCGCTCTATAAGCTACTAACTCCGTTGGATGCAGATTGTTGGATTTGTTTACCTACTAGATAATGCATAAACTTTGACATTATTTTTTTTTACTTAGATACTCTATCTGATCTTTATGCTCATGTTCATATGCTACTGCCTCATTTGCGTGCCGTACCAGTCGTTGAACGCTTTGGAAGTATACATCTACCTCCATATCCTTACCTATGCCATTGACAAATTTCGAGAGGTAAGCTGCCTTTCCTTTGCCAACCTGACACCTTTAAGTGCTTTCACTGTTCCGCTAATTTTTATCTCCTGATGGCTGTGTAGAATAATCTGGCAGTTTTGGCAACTGTATGACTATGATTGCCATAATCTAGCCAAGCATGATCTCGTCAGAAGACTTTGTAAGGTTGGCGAGATCCTAAAAGTAGCTTTCTACAGCCGCACATGTGTTTGAAAGTCTAGCATCATGAGCGGTTTCTTGTTGTTGAAAATTAGTTAATGGAATTTCATTGAGAAACTAAAAAATTCATCTATTTTAACATTTACACAATTGTCTTTACACGATTGCAACAGGTGACACTTTCGCCAGGTGTGAGGTACTGTCAGAAGATGTTGGTGCACCTGTCGTCCTTCTGGAACGTCTACGACTTCGTCCTCAGCTTCTTCTCTGTCCTCGGAGTGATTGTGCGTATGGTGGGGCTTCGGAATCGCATGACCTTTCTTTGGGGACGCAACATCCTCGTCTGCTGCTGTGTTTTCTGGTAGGTACTTTGGTTAGTGTCTCAATGTTAGTTTTTACAAACGACTTGACTCCAGCCCTTGACATTCACCAAATCGATCGCAGCTATTTTGCGTCATTATAGTCAAAATTTAGTATGAGAAAACATAACTTCTTTTACTCTTTGTCTAACATAGCCAAACATTGTTTTGGTAGGTTGATGCGATTCCTCGAGTTGATGCAAATTTGGCGCTTCTCGGGTCCCTATATATACGTCATCGTGAAGATGTTGCAGGCGATGATTCCACTTCTGAGCCTCGTCTTTCTACCTCTAGTAGCTTTTGGTACTCTCCGTGAAGGCATTATGGTGATGAATCGCACCCATGTCACTGTGGAGGGCATTAAGAATATCCTATTGGAGCCCTACTTCATGCTTTACGGCGAGGTCTATGCTCCTGAGATCGATCGTAAGTTTTACCACCTACTGAATTTATTTAAGTACGCCCCTTCTGGAAACGTGTGTAGATAAAATTTAAAAATATTTTCATGAAGTAAAAAGCGTTGCACAAATGCAACTCTCTACTTTGCAATGAGTGAGAAGCAGGGTTGTCGTGACAGAGGTTTATTGGTTTTTTATCGATTTACTGGAAATTAACTCGTAAAGAATGGTCATCTCAGCCTTTTTTTTTCATTCTGCAGCCGCGGACTGGGGTGTAAACTTAGATGAAACACCCCTCTATCAGATGGTGCCAATTATGGACGTTGTCTACCTCCTTTACTCAATCGTTCTTATGCTCAGCGTCATTATTGCCGTCTTCAATAGCATCTATTCTCGTGTACTTGCACAATCAGAACTCATTTATAAGTATCTTCGGTACTCCATTATTATTGAGTACGAGTCGCGACCCCTGCTTCCGCCACCCTTTATCATAATTTCATGGATCTATGCCATTTTCAGGGGTGTTTATCGGTAAGTGGAATCTGAACACTACATATGAACTTCCTCTAGTAGTTTTGTTTGTATTCATTTCTGTCTTTACAAAGGCGATGTCGAGAGCATCACCATTGCCGATGCGTTTTACGATGTGCAAGACGTTACCGTCATTGTCGTCGAGATATCTGGAAGCGATGTCGGAATGTTTGCCGCAGGTCATCGTCATCGAGTAGCTCATCATCCTCATCGTCGTCATCTTCACAGATGCATTCATCATCCAAAGGAAACTCGTTCGATATTGGACACATATTTGCGCCCGGTACTGCCTTACCCACAGCAGAACATCAGTCAAACGGTCTCAGTGAGTATCTAGTTTTTTTGTCCCATTCTTATTTGTTTATGGTCCACTGAACATTTTGTCACCTAAAACGGTGATCTCTAGGGAAAAACTGGCAGACGATTGCATTTTACTTCTGCTTAGCGACGGATTGCTCACACCTGGATATTACATCTGCCGTTTTAATGTTTTTTACTCATTATAGAACTCTTCCTAAAGCCCGAGGAAGTCGAAAAATTGCACGATTTTGAGGAAGAATGCGTTGAAGACTACTGGCGCGAGAAGCAACGGGATGAGCGCAAACAGTCCGAGCTACAGTTAGATAACATTAGTTCCAGGTGAGTAGTAGCAAGGTGTTAATTGAAGTTTCCATTAAATGTTGATGTGCTGACTGTTGAAACACAGCTTTCATTGCGTATACGTCAACCAGAATCTGAAGAGGTTGAGGGCAGAGCGTATCGTAAATGCCTTCCCACATTACATTGTCAAAGTCAAACAAGCTCTTGATTGGTGTCGGAAACGCTTCATCCTGGGGGATTTGTCACGTTTCACAATCATCCCGAATGAGAGGCTTCATCTTGCCATTGGTTTCTGCCACGTACTGGTGGTTAGAAGTTGCAGATATTTCTTAACCAATATGCTCATCTTTTTACGAAAGGCTTTGCCTCGTATGGCCTAGTTCTTGGACTCTAACGATATTGACAGTTTTGAAGGTCGTTTTGATTCGATTTCAGGCTCATATTGAACAGTCCAGCCATATGATTTTCAAACTTTGACATTCCAAATTTTTCTCAACAGGTTGGCAGCAATGCAATATCGTCTGGGCGAAGTTCACCTTCGACAGCAGCAGCTGCGGGGCCATTTCCACTCTCTGGAAGAAGAGGTGCTGGCGGGACAGGAAGAGGTGATTTCGTGGCTTGACGACTACCAACACGAAAGGGATACCATAGTGGCGGCTGCGGAGGCTACGATGCTAAGTCTGCAAAACCAACTCCCACCTTTCGATCAGCGAGGCGAGAGTGACCCCATTTTACTGGGCAGTGTAATTTGGCTTCTTAAAAATGCAATGGATAAGGAGACTAGTGAGTTCCGAGTAGCATTTGAAAGAGCTCCTGGTTATGATAGTGTGTACGACTCTATCATCACTGGTCACTGATGAAGTTGGTAATTTTTTATGAAACCAACAAATAAAACTGATACTTAGCCGTGTAGCAGTTGAATGGAGCAATAAATAGTGGTCGATTTCTAATCATTTGGGATGCTTACCTTATCAGCGTTATGGTTTTATCTGCAGCTAGTGACAATGGTTCTGATGACGACAATGAAACTTTATTGCGTAATCGAAGACGTGGAGATGGCAGCAACCTAATCATTTCCTCTCTTCGTTCCCATCGGCGACGCCATTGTCAACAAAAACAAATGCAGCACCGCCGTGGATTTGCTACCAATCTTTCCTCGCATACTGAAGAAGGGAGTGAGGATGAAGAGGTGGTAGTGGATCGAAGCAGTAGTCGGGACAAAGGGAAGCTTCCTGCTACTACCAACACCGCTTTCTCTGCTGCATTGACGACGCTGGATCCTGCAAGCGGTATAGACGTTATGGGTGTAAGCAAAGAACAAGAGTCACGGAGCCTGCAATATGAGGTTTGGCATTTGTTCTCTTTATTAATTACGATTTAATTATTTTCTTTTGATGTCATTATTGTAAATGACATGATCTTGCCCTTTGTTCTTTTCCTCTTATTGAATTCGGCTCTTGCTAGAGGCGCTTAGAATTTCAAATACTTGTTTTTTACAATACTGAACGGCTGTATTTTCCTCTTTTCTTTCCTTTTTACTTTTTCTTCGAGTTTATGGCGGTTTTTCACTCAGCAGCCTTCTCCAGGCACTCTCTACATTACTGTTCCGCCTTCTCTAATAAGCAAGACCTAGTCATGCTGTTGAAACATTGCCTTTTGTGTTCGGATAGTTGAATCAACAACAGAGACAGTGCTCTGCGGGGTCGGATGATCGTGATGGTGACAGCGATGGAAGAAAGGAGAATGAGGCAGAAGCCGAATCGATGGATAAATTGATGCCATTAAACGGTGATAACGCTCTTGACTGGCTTCAACTCCTCGCTCAACGTGTGAGAGAGCTGCAGCTTCAGCGTCTGCAAGAGCAGCAGCTACGGCAACAACTGCAAATGAAGCTACAGATGCGAGCTCAGGATCGGGAACGCAGTCCTTTCACCTACCATCAACGTCAACGGCAACAGCAACGTGGTCATACCCTCTCCGTCTCACCAACGCCCAGTCTGTCTGCTCAACCACTGCCTTCAACTTCTGGCAGACTTGATACGTAAGATTGTCAGAATAACTTCTTACTTCACTTGAATTCTTTTGACTTAGTTCCTGTTATTATTTTTTGGGATCATTCTTTTTCTCAAAATTTTCATACCCGACTTGTTTTCATAACTTATCTCTGTAATTGAACTACTCCGTTCTCTTCATATTCATTCAGTATCCAACGCCGCCAATCCTTGCTTTTCGCCCACCAAGGGCGACACAATAGACAGCCACTGATTTCACATCAACCGGCTCACCGAGAATACACCACCATCTTGGATGACATTGACATCTCTCATCTCCTGCAAACAGACAGTCCAGACGCAAGTCCAATGGGATCGCGATTGGACCTAAATACCATACATCTGATCTCACACCCCACTGACAGTTTGGGAAAGCGAACTCGTCGGCACCGAGGCGCACGGTTCGCCCTTCCACCAGTTGGTGCAAGCACCGGTGTTGGAGGAGTGGGGCCGCCCCACCAGCATTCTACATCACCGCCACCCGTCACTGCGCCACCGGCATTGAATCTGATGCCATCACGTGTTACTTCGGTGGCGACACAGGATGTCACCTTTGACTTTCATAAACTCTGTGATAAACAACAACCCCATCAACATCCTCAAGGTTCTTCAAATACCTCCTTTGTTGATTTGCCTCATGCGGAAGCGGGAAGTAAGGCTTTATTTTATTTAGGTGTTTGTTCAATTGAGCTGCCGTTGTAGTTCGTTAAATGAAATGTATAAACTTGATTCATTAATCTCTCTATGTATTTGGCAGTTGCCTTAGAAGTGCTGAAACTATTTACTACTTATTCAAGTGTAAAAGTTAAACGCTTTCAAGGCCTTTTTGAAGACTTTTAACTTTTGATAACTCTTGTGCTACATAGCCATGACTCTGGAACAAAAGAACGAGCGGTCTGATTTGAAGGTGGCAACCGGTACGCACAGTCGGAACCTATCCACTTCTCCCACCAACTCCCCTTACCACGGTAGGATCAGCAGCTCTCCTACCTCGTCTCATAATATGCGTGATGCCTCCTCTAGTGACGACGAAATGGAAGGCGAGGCTGATGAAATTCATGTGGATTTGGACATGGATGCTGCTGCAATGGTAAAAGATCCTCTCTATCTAGCCGAGGCAGCGGAGTGGACAGAACTCGGTGGAGTGATGCTTCGTCGCCTTCGACAACTTTCTGTCACATTGGATGAGGAGATTATTCCACCACTTCAGGAAACATCCGCCAGCGTCGTTGTTGAAGTCGGCGACCCTGCGACTATTGCTGCCCCTGACTCTGAGGGAGGTGGCTTGCAGCAACCTGCGGCCACAGTGGAGGGCATCTGTGCTACCGATGATGTGTGGAATGCTGCGGCTACTGCGTTGCAAGTGGCGACAGGAGGAGCAGCGGCTCTTGAAGTTGTGGACCCCGACTTAGATTTGGATTACATTCCCCCTGCCATTTCACCAATCACACCTGGCTCTCTCTCCAGCTTGGTGATGGTTGGACCGGGATCAACAGTGGGGGATGACCCACACCACGCAGAGGAAGGGCCATCGACGTGGATGCATCTACATCGGCACCATCAGTCTCATCATCCACATGCTTAAAGCTTTCATTTATTACAGTTAAATTTCTCACTTCTCCCTCACTTGTGTGTCCAATTTTCCCATGGGTTACTAAGATGGTTTGGTGCTGACGAGTTGTGTGTAACCGTATGTGTGATAGATATGTATGATAGCATATTTTTTAACACCGCATTGGGCATACGAATTTCCTTTTTGAAGAAAAGAAAAGTGCCTATGGGGGAGAGTCGGATTTTAAATGTCTTTTTAACTAAAAAGGGGCGGAAGATTCTCGTATAGCCATGAACTGAAGAAGATACAACAAGAAAGAGGGGTTGACAAGTGAAGGTGGGTTCGCAATCCAAGCGTTTGCCTAGATTCGCTATCATCAAGGTAGCCTCCACAATATTGACAGATGGGAGAATTTGACACCATTCTTAGCATCCACATCGAATGTTTAGTTAAGGGATGTCATTTTGAAGGATAGAGTTAACAGGACAATGCGTGTTTAAGCGAATATGGAAACTTTAACAAACCTGTAATTTTTGATTTATTCAACCGCTTGTACGAGTGGGGGTCTCTTTGGTCGCTATCGTGCTTCTGCCAGAAGGACTCTGTGTCATGTCAAAAGTCCATTCTTCTCCCAGGTCCAAGTCCTGTGTCTCCTACTGCCTAACGAGGAGTCTTAGAACACAGATGGGTTTTTATAAGTCAAATCTGGTTTTATGTAATCCATGATGACATCCTTGATGACAAAAGGAGTTGTAACATCGGGACAGAATATGTAATCTTGACACACAAAAGAGCTGAGAGGCTACTCACAGTCCAGAAAGAAGGTTGAATCAAGTGATTAACGGATTGGATATCTCTTTCATCCGTTTGTACTCCGTTTTTGGTGCCTCTCCACGATGGTCCTATTGCAGGCGGCATCATAGGAAAAGCACCTACGAAACAACCGTGTCTCGTTACTGATGCTCCGATGGAGGTACAAATGGATATGAATTTTGTATTGTGTGAAAGGGATCCAAGAACTATGCAAGCCATCATATTGCAAGAAACTCGGTTTAAAAGTAGTGCTTCAGCAAGGGACAGATTTGGAAATGTGTGCTTCATAGCCTCTCACTAAGTATTTTGCACTGACTTAAAAGCATTAAAGGTGATGCGAATTGACAGCACAGCTTTATTGTTTAATTTATTTTCTTCTCCTTAGCCATTTTCAGGGGTTTGGTAGTTTTTCACATAAGACCAAAGATTGTAGACATAAAGAAGATGAAAGAATATAAGGTAGAAGCTCAGCTGAGGCGCTTTTACTGGCGGGACCACCATATAAGTTCCATTTACACAAAATGTCATGGAATCGATTAGAAGGAGGGGGAAACAGTGCGTCGTCTCTTGCCATCTTCTAAAGCAAGGCAAGTTCCAATAAGTTGTGTGTCTACCGGAGTCTTTGCTTCCGTATCGTTGGTAAGTTTAAAAGCTTAATTGACATTGCCTGTTGGCTAATTTGGGAGATTCCTAAAGGCCCCTGATCCTCACCCCGTTTTTAAGTCAAGTGTTAAGCAGTTTGTAGCAAATACCTAGAAAGTGGGTTCTAATGGTGTTTTGGTCTCACCAACCTTTAACGTATGCATATATAATTAAAATTATGCAATAAAATTCCCTTAAGAAGGAATTAACTATGTGAGAATGCTTCGCCACCCATCAAATCAAGCAACTACTGGTGAACCCCCCTTATATAAGCGACATTCAGCTAAAGCTTAGAAGCGTAAACGTAATTAAGAATTACAGCTTTCGTTGTAACATGTTTAATTATTTTCCTTCCACCTCTCTCTTCAACCTTATGGCATAGACGTTATATTTTAAGCGTAGCATTTATGGGATAGATGCTGCAGGCGGATATTACTGATCAAGCACGTTGTCTTCTCCCAAGGCTGATGTGGGGCATTTATGCATAAGACGACAATTGGACAAGTGCATGTTGAATTGCCTAAGAAAACTTCACTTCTCAATTCAGACGCACCACCGATGTGGTTCGCTTAACCGTGCATACCATGGACGAAGAATGAAAATCCATGCAAGTACTCCATGAGGTTCTCATCACTGAAAACCTTTAGGCCCATGTCTCTTAGCTGCATTTTGAAATGCCCACACATGGGCAAGCACACAATCACCCACGTCAACGCAGAATCTGATCGGTTCCTGACTAGCGCAGTTACGAATAGCTATTCGCTTCCATATGTGAGCCAATGTAAATGCAGTCTACTGGATTTGACTAACTGAGTGTCACCTCTTCGTGCCGCTTGGCATTTGCAGCTTGTCAGGCCTACAGTAAGCAAGCGGTATTAACAACTGTCAGTTTGGAGAGAACAGACTATTCGCATGTGTCATTCGTCTTGGCTATGTTTGCCCACCCAATGTAGCGCGCATGAAGCAAACCTCTCCCAAATTAACGTTCTGTCAGGAGGTCATCGGTTGCAAATCCAAGTGCAAGTACTTTATGCGCATAAAGTAGACGATTGCCTGCCATGTGGTTCCCATTACCACAGACAAATTGAAGATGATTGCCCTTCACAATGGATAACATCCTAAGGCATCTTCGAAGCACGCATGTGCGTGATAACATGACAAGTCACACTACCCACACCACAACCATCTCCGATGACTTATGCTGACAAAAGCAACTCTATTCGTACAAA